TATAGCCCGTTAACATTTTTAGGGGATCGGGTAGGTCCACCATAAGGGAGTAAACCAAAAAATTTACTCCCTTATGGCCATATTGGGGATCGGTTAAAATGCCCTAAAGTAGAGAGTTAGCCCACAAGCACCCGCAATGGAGGCGAGCGTACAAATATTTAGGACATATAATTAGCATATTAAGATCCATCATGAAATATACTTTCATCTTGTTTATTTGGTTTCATAGATGTTGTGAGGCTCCACTATAAACTTACAATATAGGCAGGTGAAGCATATTTTCTTTTTATATATTTAACCAAAAAAATATTATCAATCTATGATGTTGCCTGTTGACCAAGGATTTGGCCAGGTCACTTGTATGGACTTATGAAAGAATAATATCTAATTTCACCCATCACGCTTAGGATCTCATGAACGAGGAGGGCCAACACCGGTTCCTCGATCTTCCTACTGGAGGCATGATCATGACTTTCATTCATTCATTCATCTAATTCTTTGTTATGCTGTGGAATGGAACCACTAGCACCCAATGGATTTTTAGTCATTTTATTCAAAGATTTATAGTCCTTTTACCAACTAGTCAGAACTAATATTGATCTATTGTATTATGTTTTCTCTTTGTCAGCTAGCACAATTTGGATTTCAAGTCCAATGCACTAACATTTTTTAGTTTTCTTGCTCTTGCTCAGGGCTTTGACCATGTCACCCGAACAATTTCAATACATACGGCACAAGACGATTACACATATATATTGAGGTCGGAATGGGATCAGATTTCTTTACGTCTCACCATAGTGCCTGGTTTGTTAAGAAATAATCGGCCATCCTTGGCAAGGGATCATTCACTTTACATGATTCTCAGATCAAGGGAATATGAAAAAGTAAAGGGTTCGATGTGCTACCCCTTCCAATCCTTACAAAATTTCTATAAGGTCTAGCCAGATGCTACAAGTCCTAAACAATTAAGTCAATATGGACACAATCCTAATGATTCTAGTACCTCTATACCTTTAGAACGAATGCTGAACATAAAAGAATAAATCTCGTGGGTGGAAATCTCGTAGGAATCCTCTAAACCAAATGAGTGCTAAATGAGACACCGGCTAAATAATTCTTCTTAATTTGAAATTGACTTACTACTACAAGGGAAAGGCGTGTCTTCTTAATTTGAATTTGACTTACTACTAGATGGGAAAGGCGTGTGTTGCTGCGCTCACTCCATTATAACCTAAAAAAATGATGATTTGGTCGGTAGAAAAATCAGAAACATATTCATCGTCAAGGCTTGTTAACACAAACTGTTATATTATACGTAACAGAGCAATTTATACAATGTGAGGTGTTAGGCAAGTAAGCACATGCCTAAGCGAAAATGAGCCTATACTTTACTTACGTTGGAACTACGTGTTCTTACGTTTCTATATTTGACAGAACAAAACTCCTTTGCGAGCCTCAGAGTCTTGCATATCAGCAAACTTTACTTCAAAGGCACTTCCTTCAGTAAATTTAAAACAGAAGTAAAATATAAAAACTACAGAAAGTAGAGGTACCAGCAAACAAATTTGCAATCAAATCACTAAATAGAGGCACTTCGATAACACGCAAATCTGTCAGTTGAGTAAAGTTTAGTATTGTGAAACATACAGATGCAATGATATGCAAGCCTTTTGCGTATTCGCGAAAAAACATACAGATGAAAAACTGGTCAGCATCTCAAAGTGGACCATTGATAGCAGAAAATAATACGCAAGAATGTACGAATAATTATGCAACTCTTAC